TTTTTTTTTTTTTTTTCCCCCCAAAGCCCCAGTAGATAGTTGTATGTCATAGTTGCACATCCTTCTAGTTGCTGTATATGGGACGCAGCCTCAGCATGGCCAGAGAAGTGGTGTGTCGGTGCGCGCCCGGGATCTGAACCCAGGCCGCCAGCAGCGGAGCACACGCACTTAACCGCTAAGCCACGGGGCCGGCCCTACCTGCCAGAATCTTAAAAGAAGTTCACTGTTAACTGGATTTAGTCACGTATTTAGTCCAGACGATCTCAACAACACCTTACTTTCTCAAGGCTACGTCCTTGAAACAGCTTCTAGTGTGGGAATGGTGGATGGAATGTACATTACAAGCACAGAGGAGGGGGTGAAGAGCTTCTGATTGCCCTGGTCCTGCTTGTGGGTCAACCAGTGGTCATATCCTCTCCATGACCTCCTGCAACAGTAGCTCAAAGCTTTTGTGGAGCTCCAATGATAGAAAGCTTTCCACAGCTTGCTAGATTGTTACAATACGGCAGAGTCTTCCATTTTATTGCATGTTAATGAGAAAGAATTGGGGCAATGGTTACAGACTGAGAACTGGGAAATTGATTCAAAGACAGCTGCCTAAATGGTCCCCTAGTTGTTGCTAAACTTCAGACTAGGGTCTTCATCACCAATCTGATGGTTAGCTCAAGGTTTTGTGTCAGTAAGTATTTGGAACTGTATAGATCAGAACGGGGAGGGCTTCTCCCATTTTTCCTTCTTATCATCCCTCAGTTCTATCAAACCCAGGTCCCTCGAGTCTTTACACCCCAGGCTCCTTATATAGAGGTTCCCGCAATACCCAACTCTCCTCCAGCTCCTTCCTTCACACTCAAACCTCAATATCTGTCTCGTATCTTGTTCCACTTCAGTGTAGTCCCCTTGCCCCGACACCACATTTCAGTATACTCCTCAGTCTGTTATCAGAGTTGAATCCATTTCCCTTACCGGGTTGCTTCTCTATTTTAGGACTTTGCACTGCATCATGATGCATATGGTGCTGCTCTCCTGTCTAGATTGTCAATGAATAAGAGGCATAAACTGCAAGAGAAGCAAAAAGTGGGCCGGCCCCATGGCTTAGCGGTTAAGTGCGCACGCTCTGCTGCTGGCGGCCCGGGTTCGGATCCCAGGCACGCACCAACACACCGCTTCTCCGGCCATGCTGAGGCCACGTCCCACATACAGCAACTAGAAGGATGTGCAGCTATGACATACAACTATCTACTGGGGCTTTGGGGGGAAAATAAATAAATAAATTATGAAAAGAAAAGAAGCAAAAAGTTTATTTGGGGTCTCGAGAATTGCAATTCAGGAGACACAGATTCGAGTAGAAACTCAAATGTGCTCTGATTACAGGAGAGGGGCTCAGGGTTTTTATGGGGAAAAAGGGCAGAAGATGAGGTACCTTGTATTAAGGAAGAGTTCACTGGTGCTAGATGAGATAACGCTAGGTGTGTACTTCATAGATTGGCTTGAGATTTGGTCATCGGCCAAGTCCAGTTTTATCAGTCCTTACAAACAGGATCTTCTTGTCCTTACTGACCTTTTTGAAGGTTGGTGGTTTGGTCCAATTTGGAAGATAAAGAAAACAAGACATGCAAGGCAATTCCTCTGAAATGGCTGCTCCAGCTCTATTTTAATATCGCTCCACTCAAGCCATATTTCACAAGATTATAAACTCCTGTAGCTCGGTTAAACTGAGTGTCTACTGCAAACCAAGCATTGCACTGAGTGTTGCTGAGACAGATGCAGAGATAAATAAAACTTGGTCTGTCCCAACCCCTCTCCCCAAACCTATGATCTAATGCTTATTGAATGAATGAATAAATGCCCTATTCATCCCATATCTCTTTGCTGATCCCCAAGATTTGAGGATCAAATCAAACTAGCAAACTATGGTCTGGGGGCCAGCTGCCTAGTTTTGTAAATAAAGTGATTTAGAACCCGGGCCAGGATTAGGGCAAGGCAAGTGAAGCAGGTTCGTGCTAGTGCAGAGTCAAATCCGTCTTTATTCAAAGTCTGGTTTAATTTCTTCATGGTTAATGGAAGGCGTAGTTGACATCCCATCCCCCAGCCTATTTTCATGTTGGCCAGAACATGGTTGCTTCAACTTCGTGCCTTTCCCACCAACTTCCTCACCATCTGCCTCTAACTCTGCAGGAGGCTCCTCAGCCCACAGACATGAATTGTCTGTCAGAAAGGGGCAGAGCCCTGTGCCAGGTACTTTGGGAACAGTAGGAGATTTAAAACCTGCACCTGCCAGCTGCCCAGCACTAACCATGGAGCTGAGACACCAGTGTGGAGACTTGGAAGCAAATGGTCTGGTTTCAGGTCCCAGTGCAGCAGGATGTGGGTTTAGACAAGCTCACCATCTCTGGACCTGCTTCCTTACCTGTAAAGACTGAACAATAATTACTACCTCAAAGAGCGTTTGTGACGATTTAATGGAGGCCATGTTTACAAAAGTATTTTGTAAATTTAAGATTTCATGTCAATGTGAAATATAAAAACAATCATAATACAAAATGGAATATGGTAAGTGCTAATGAAGTGAAGAGAAAATAAAAGTGATTTCCATTAGGCTGGTAAAAAAAAGATGTCAGCTGAGAAAGGTTGAATTGGGTTTGGGTAAGTGGCCAAGGTAAGTAGAACTGACCTGGACTGGTCCTCTCTGCTCCCCAACCTCTGTCAGCTATCTGTCAGCATTTAAGTCAATGTGTATTCTTTCCCTTTGCCTTCGCTTTTCTTTTCTTTTCTTTGCAGGGAAAGTTTCGCCCTGAGCTAACATCTGTTGCCAATCTTCCTCTTTTTTTTTTTTCTCCTTAAAGCCTCAGTGCATGATTGTATATTCTAGTTGTAAATCCTTCTAGTTCTTCTATGTGGGCCGCCACCATAGCATGGCTACTGACAGACGGGTGCTGTGGCTCGGTGCCAGGAAAATTGAACGCTGGCCGAACCCTTGCCGCCAAAGCCCAAGCCCTGAGTTTTAACCACTAGGCCATCAGGGCTGGTTCTTCGCTTTTCTAAGATGCTACGTGCCTCCATGTCTCTTTCTGGGGGGCTCGGGAAGGTCTTTTTCTCCATCCGGCTCTAGATAATGGTGGTTGGTGGTTTTGTGTGTTTTAATCAGTGGTAATTTAATCCTCTTTTTTCAAAGGGTAAATTAAGATTGGGAATAAGAAAAGATCCTAGAGCTAGGTGGGACCAGTGTTTACAATTGGTAGGAGGGGTGGGCTTGCGAGGTGGGGCGGGGCGGGGTGGGGCTCTCTTCCTTTTGGCTTCTTAGATTGTTAAGTCTTGACCTTGGCGAGCCCGCAGCCTTAGCTGGGTCACCAGCAGGGAATGCGGTGGGCTTACGGACTGAGAAGGAGAGGAAACGGGCGGGGACAGCGGGGCAGGGCTCCGGGCGGGGTCGCCGCCGGGGAGAGCGTGCGCTGGGTTGGAGCCGGCTCGCCGCTGGCCCCCCGGGAAAGCCCGCGCCCCGAGGTCCAGTCCTCGGCGGGTGAGTAGGGCAGCGGGGAGTTGAGCTCGCGGTGGTCGAGGCTAATGGAGAGTCTTTGTCCGGTGCTCCTCCACCCCATCTCGGCAGGCGAAAGGAGCATTGCGCCCCTAATCTTGGAGGAGCTTCCAACCTCTGGTGCCCCTCGGGGAAACCTGGAGTAGTCAGGGGTGTGGCCGGGGACTTGGCGCCGAGGAGGGGCTCCTAGCACGTGTTGAGAAAGTCGGGATCGCGGAAAGAAAGCTTCGGGGCAGACAGGCGTCGAGCAATGCCGTCCCCGTCAAGGGGACCATTTCTGAGCACATAAGCCCCATTCGGGGGGTGTTAATAAGCGCCTGCTGTGCTGTGCAGCGTGAGCAAAACTGTTTTCATTCCTACCCGCGGGAGCTTCAAGGCTGCAGTGCGGCCGCCGCGTGCGCAGGGACAAAAGGTGAGCAGCGCGGGAGCCGGGGCCAGCACACCCAGGGGCCGCGATCCGGTCGGCAGGGCTGGGCAGTGGCTGGAAAGTGTCCTCGAAGGGCTGAGCAGAGACCCGAAGGCCGCGTGAGAGGGGTGAATGCCCGAGGGCCATTTTGCTTGGCAGGAGGGCAGAAAACTCCTGTGGCTGGAGCATCCGGGTGGGGGCCGCGAGGGCGGATCCCACGAACCCTTGCAGGTGTGTTGGGGATTTCGGTCGTTCTCAGAATTGCAGTGGGAAACCACCGAAGGGTTTTGAGTTAGAGATTGGGTGGATTCAGAGGACTGGAAGATGGCGACAGATTCCCTGGGAGATTTACATTCTGGAAGGGCGGGGACCGGCCCGGGAACAGATAAGTGCCCCCCCCGCCCCCCTCCCGTCGCACCGCAAGTCTGTTGAGTTATACCCGGCCCCCTTGCATTCGCCAGCTAGCGGAGCTCTGGTGGATGTAGAAACTACTATCTGAGGTAGAAGTGCCAGGGGCAAGCAGCAGCTGCCAGCATTCAGTCGCCACAGTCACACTTCCTCCCCAAGCCAGACGGCTAGTTTAGAATTTGGACCAAGGGCCTCTTCCTACTGCCCACAGCTAGTGCCATTTTGACGACTACTGACCAGGTGGGTCTTTCGTGCTGGGGGTCAGGAAAGCCAGGTCCTTGAGGATACTATTATTGAGACTGTTTCCAAGTATTTTAGTGGGGTCAGCTGGAGAGTGGGAGAATAATCCAGATGTGTACACCTCACAGAAAGATTGTGAATAATCTTGAAGGTAAGAAAGGAATGGAGGGAGGGATGGAGGCAGGGAGGGAATCAACTTTAGATCCCCAAATGCACCTTCCATGTCAACTTCCTTTTTAGTGGTCCAATTAACCACTAAAATTTAGTGGCCATTGTTAAATGCCTTTTTCCTTGCTGGTATTTTCAATTCCACCACCCATCCAAAAAATTGAAAGAAAAAAATGTCAACAGGTTTTTATGTTTTTATTCTTTTCATTCCATCTTGAGAGAAGAGGCGGAGTGAATGCCTGGTGGGCTCATGGTGAACCCTGAATAAGTATTTGCTGTTGGGTTGTTATCACTATTATTCTTTACTAGGATCTGTGTATATTAAAAATCTACAGAATTGTGTAATTTTTGGCCGTAGCCAGGCTCTTAGAAAGTGTCTCCTTTAATCTAATTTTCCAGTGAAACCAGATCAGAATGAAGAGACTTGCACAAGGTGGTTTGTGACAGATACAGAGCTGATTACCTCAAGCACAGGCTTTCTTTCCAGAATACCCCATTGTTGCTCTAGAGAATGCTTTGGGACAGCAGAAATCATGTCCTCAGTGGTACAGTCTAGGGTTTAAACACTATGCTGTGGACCAAGAATATCCTTGAGCAAGTTACTTAGCATTTCTGCACTTTAGGTTCCTTAAAATGGGGCCAGCAATTGTTACCTCCCCGGGCAGTGCTGAGAGGATTCAATGGCACAGAACAGGGGTTCGATAACTCTTGGTTTCCTTGACCAAATAAGAAGCTGTTGTGCCTCATCCCCCTAACCACCCTTGCTGATATGTTTTGTTTTTCTCTGACCTCAGGTTCCTAGAGGTGGGCACCAGCCAGTGGCTGGACGCAGGGTGAAACAGAAGGCAGACGCCTTCGTAGCCCCAACTTGGCATCACTGGACAATGGCAGCTGAGCCAAGGGTACCGGTTCCCTGAACTCTGTAGCCTAGGCTTTGAGGGAACCAAAGGTGTACTCAATTGAGAATTTGGACAGCAGAACAAAAAAGGAAGACAGCCCCTTGGAGCAAATACATTTGTCACAAGAAGCCACGTGCAACCCTGGGGCCTTTGCAAAGCCTTTCCGTCTGCTCAGTTACTGGGAGGTAGATAGCCTCAGATGAGTCCAGTCAGCCTTGGGGGCCAGGCCAGGAGTGGATAAAGCTAGAAAGAGACACCATGGAAGAGAAGGCACTTGGCCAGCTGAAGCCTATCGAACCTGTACAGAAGCTGCTCCCTCGGGTGGACGAGGTGGCCCTGCCGGAAGCCATGAAGAGAGAGTGCTGGCAGAAGGCATGGGTGAAGGTGAGGAGACCAAGCTACAGAGAGAGGGAGGGACCAGGTTCCAGGCTCCAGGAGCTCTTTCATCCATTCCCCTGTCTACAAGTCAAGTGGAATCTCAGAGTGTTCCAAGCTGAACAACATCTAGGAAAAGGGACTGCAAGGCCTTTCTTAGTGTCCACACCACCCTGGCATCCTTCATGGAGAACTTCCTGAAATTTGTCAGAGTGGCAGCCTTTTCCCCTTTGCTTCTCTTCCTATTTATGTTCAGTATATACCCTTCCCTTTCCTCCCGTATTTTTCTTCCTTCCTCTCCATCCTTCCTTTCCTTTCTGTACATCACAGTTGCTGGCTTTGTGCCTGTCTTTTCATATTTCTCCCCTACTTCCATGGCGTTATTTTTGTTTTTGTCTTAGTTTTTTTTGTGTGTGTGTGTGAGGAAGATCAGCCCTGAGCTAACATCCAGTGCCAATCCTCCTCTTTTTTTTTTGCTGAGGAAGATTGGCCCTGGGCTAACATCCATGCCCATCTTCCTCTACTTATTATGGGATGCTGCCACAGCATGGCTTGACAAGCATTGCATCAGGTGCGAGCCTGGGGTCTGAACCTGCGAACCCTGGGCCGCCGAAGCAGAGCGCGCACACTGAGCCACTGGGCTGGCCGATAGTCTTAGTTTTTTGAACCTTGAGACTAGATGTCTGTCTCTGCATGTATCAGACTCCCTGAGTCTCTCCTGCTCTTCCAGAAGCCGGTCACCTTTGAGGATGTGGCAGTGAATTTCACTCAGGAAGAGTGGGAATGTCTCGATGCCAGTCAGAGGGTCCTCTATCAGGATGTTATGTCAGAGACCTTCAAGAACCTGATGTCTGTGGGTAAGAGGCTGGAGTTCCCAGCAGAAGCCCCATGTCCCAGGAGCCTGGGACATCTTGTTTCCCTCGGCAAGTAGATCAGCTCATAATTAGCTTCACTGACCCTTGGTTCTATACCTTCCAGGTGTGAAAGATCTGGGTCGCTAAGCTCAAAATAAAAGGAGATGAAAGCCTGCATAAAGGCAAAGATAACATTTGTAACATGATGACAGTGTTCTCAAAATATGCAAATTTGCCTGTTGATCCAACCGGTATTTTCTGAGTCACTTCTATTATGTACCAGGTACTTTGTTGGGAGCTGGCCTTTTGAATGTCTCCTCCCTGCATCCATGTGTCCCAGATTATGGTTTTTAAAATAAGGATACAGAAGAAGGTAGCCTCTTGTCCCCATCAGGTGTGAAGGGGCCAAGCCCAGGACCTCAACTCTTTCTCTCCTTCTCACTCTCTAGCCAGAATCTTTTTATCTAATCCAGATCTGACCACCCAGCTTGAACAAGAAGAGAAACAGTGGCGAGCAGATTTCCGTCACCCAAATGGAGAAGGCCTCCCATCTGGTAAGAATGGCAAAGGAGAGAGGAAGGATGGAAAACTGCCTAAGAGGATCAGGGCTCTGTGTATCCTCTCCTAGTCTGCATCCTTCCAGCCTAGTCTACTTGGATCTGGAAGAGACCTTGAGATCATCTGCTCAAGTCGCTTGACTTTAAGAAGAGGAATATCTAAGCCATTCAGGACAGTTGGATTTCTTCAGTTTCTAGGGATTGAGAGACTACCTGTAGGTTGCTTATGTCAGTGATATCCTTTTGATTAAAAAGTCCTTTCCAAGAGAAAAGAAAAAGGGGATGAGTTTAATGCTGAGTTGGAGCAAGGGAGACTCATTCTTGAGAGCAGAATAAGAACTTGAGAGAAATTTAAGGCCAGGCTGACCACACCTCCTGGTTTGCCAGGACAGTCCTGGTTTATACTTCTCATCCTAGCTTGATTAATAATAGCACCTCCTTTCACTCAAGTGTCCCAATTTGCCTGATGTATTATGAGGTCACCTGTGGGTCTCTGTGGAGTATCTGTGGGAATGTGAGCAATATTGAAAATGAGAGGAAATGGATTTCAAGTAATGTGGTAATAGGTTAAAATTTTGATCTCTGATATTGAAAGATTCTAGTTAAATTTTATTTGCTTTTAATTTGAAAACCCATAAGTTTATTATCTTTAGCCTATGAGGTCCAAGAGTGAGGGTGAATGTGTTGGGTGAGAGAGTGAGGGCAGAAAGAGAGGAAGTAGCTTGGACTGAATGAAGAGCTTGTGTTGGGATTCTCATGGTGAATCTTGTTGTTCCTCCTCATTTACTACAGAAGGCAAGAAGGAGGAACTTCAAGAACAGACTCAGAGTTTGAGAGATGAGGGGACTAGCGATGACAAGAAGGTCTCCCTTGCTTGCAGAGGGGCAGGCCCATCCTCTGCTCTAGCTGGGTCCATGGACAGGACCCCAGTATTCCCAGCATCTTCGACTGGGCCACCCTTTTCCTGCCACATCTGTGGCAGATGTTTCAGCAAGCGCTCCAACCTCCACAGCCACCAGTTTGTTCACAATCCCAAGCGGACTAACAGCTGCAGCCAGTGTGGGAAGTCATTTCGGAACCCCAAGGCCCTCAGCTACCACAGACTCATGCATCTTGGGGAAAGGCCCTTCTGTTGCTCACTCTGTGACAAGACCTACTGTGATGCTTCTGGACTGAGTCGTCATCGCCGTGCCCATCTGGGTTACCGGCCCCATTCATGCGCCTTCTGTGGGAAGGGCTTCCGGGACCAGTCTGAGCTCAAACGCCACCAGAAGACACACCAAAACCAGGAGTCTGTGGTTGGAAACCAGAAACATATTGTGAGGATTCCAGGCACCACAGCTGGATTCCAGGAACCCATTGTCAAGAGCCAGGTGTCCTTCCAGGGCCTTGCAGCTGGGAACCATGCACCAGTGGCCGGGACTCAAGGACCCATATTTAGAACCAAGAGTCCTGAGGCTCAGAACCAGGCACCTATAGTCAAGAACCAAGTGGCCACTGTGAGAACTCGGGCACCAGTTATTACCACGCCGGGGCCTGTGACCAGGACCCAAGCAGCCAACTCTATGGCTCCTTGCTTGGATACCAAGTCCAACTCTAACCCAGCAAAGCCTTCAAGACTCAAGGTCTTCTCTTGCCCTCATTGTCCTTTGACTTTTAGCAAGAAAGTCTATCTCTCCAGCCACCAGAAGGCTCACCTCACAGAGCAGCGCAACTGCTGCTTCCACTGTGGCAAGTCCTTCAGCTCATTCTCTGGGCTGGTCAGGCACCAGCAGACTCACTGGAAGCAGAAGATCTACCGTTGCCCTATCTGCGACGTATGCTTTGGGGAGAAGGAGGGCCTTATGGGTCACTGGGGGAGTTACAAAGGCAAGGGGCTCCGCCTGGGCAGTCCCCATAAATGCTGGGCGATCTTGGGTCAGTGGCTTGGCTTCTTTCGTGATGCCTCCCCTAAAGCAGGGAAAGAAATGGATCTCCTAGGATCCATACCCCCAGGAGAGGGGAGGGAGAGAAAGGAGAAGGTGTGCAGAGGAAAGAAAGCATTGAGACAGTGAGCATCTTGGAACATAAATAAATGGCCTTTCTGACTGAGGTCTTTCTTTGTGTTTGGTTTTCCTGAGAATTAACCTCCAGGGTAAGGAGGCTGGGGTAGAGGAAGAGAGCTGAAGGTAATGAAGGAAATGGAGAAAGGAAGAGGAACAAGAAGTGGCACACGGAAACTCGTATTATTATTAATTAGCACCTAGCTTGTTTCTTTGTGTCTCATAGACCATCAAGTAGTAATTGTTGAATAAGATAGTGGATACTCTGATAGGTATGAAGATGGGAGAAAAAGGATGAGAGGAGGGAGAGTCTGAGGGACCCATCCATGCAAGATGTGCGAGTAGAAGGGAAGCATTCTAAAGCAAGTGCATTGCCCAGTTTTCATCCCTTGCTTCCCTAGCTTTTTGGTAGGCTGATGAGGCAAGATGGTGCCCTGGCCAGTATTCTGTGGGTTTCTTCGCATCTCCAGTTTTGGTTAGGGCTCCCCATGTCCTCACTCTGCAGCTCACTTAGCTCTCTTTTATGTTTTGGACTCTTGTTCCTTCTCTTCGACCCTCCACACCTCTCAGCTCTGCCCACCAGGGCTGAGATCTTGGAAGAAACACACCATTTGCAAAGTTGGCATGCTGTAATTTGCAACGAGGAGGTTCCTGGTCTCCAGTTCATGGCAGAGACCTTCTTGTCTGCGTTACTCTCCAGCACAGGTGTCCTCTGATGGAGAAACGAGCATCTGCCTGGCCATAGCCAGAGAGGGCTTCCAGATGGAAGATGAAGAGAGGAGTGGAAACACGTGGGTAGCAAAAGGGGGAAAGGAAGGAAGGAGCTGGGGAAAGGTGGAGAAAAGGTAGATGACAGAAGAAGAGAAATCAATCCTATTTGGAATTCAGAGTATTCCTAGAAGTGCAGATTGAAATGTCCCCATAGTGAAGAGGCCAGTGAGTGTGCAACTTGATGGATGCGACATCCCCGAGGACCAATACATGGACCAATACAGGCTCTCCACCCCTGCCAAGATGCAACATCACTCAGAAGGGGTTTCCTAGAAGGAGGAGAAAATAACTTGAAAAATCTGTCAGTAGTTTCTATCATGAAATCATTAAACCAGGGAGAGGAAAAGCTCTCTGGGGTCATCTTATCTCTGTGCCTGCCTCAGTGGTTGGTCTTGGAGGTGAGGCACAGGGCAGCTGCTGGAGGGATTGGGAAAGGAGGCCAGCCTGAGTGGGATTCCTGGAGAGGGGCAGTATAGGTGGAGCAAATCAGGCAGCAGGTGGGAGTGGCCCCAGCTTCCTTCCCTGTCACCTGTGAAACTTGTCTCTAACAGCTGGCCATCTTTGCTGCCTTCCCTTCTGCCTCATAGGAGTCCCCCCTCCACCCATGCTCTCCAGCCTCTCCTCTCCAGGATTTTGATCCCTCAATAGCCCCTCTCTTCCTCTTGCTGTTTTCCTCGTTTTTTATTCTCAGCTTATAAGAAGGAGAAGAGAACTTACTTAGTTCTTCAAGAAAGTGCCCTGAAAACAAAGAGAAATAGGTGATTGGTGGAAGATAACTAGCTTCCTCCCGACATCCTCCCTGTGCAGATTCTCAGTGACCCACCCTTCCCTTTCCACTAAGGGACCCCACAGATCTCAGTAAGTGGTTCTCTTTACAGATTCTCTGAGGACACTGGGGTTGGCCATGGGGACAGAGGAAGAAAGAAATCTTGGCTCTCTGAACCTTGAGCCCTGGTTCCACCCTCTTTCTGTTTCCCACTCAGGGCCGACTTGGTCCCCCGCTGCTTGGTGGTCCTGTTGCTGCCCTGCCACTGCACCTGCTAGTCTTCGATGTAGCCAGTTGTAGCAGATGATCAAGGCAACCAGGGGTCCGAGAACCGGCACAATTACAAACAGGGTTATCTTCCAGCAGGGCACCATCAGAAAGTGGGGATCTGAATTGTTCACCACAGAACAAACAGGATTAACACGTGTTCCCCCTTATGTCCCACCCGCCCCTTCTCCATTAATTATTGGGTTTCTTAACCTGGGATCCAAGAACACCAAAGGAGTCTGGATGGAATCCAGGGAGTCCATGAACTTGGATGAGAAAAGCACTACATCTTTATTTTCACTAACCTCTAACTGAATTTAGGATTTTCTTCCATTAATAATGTAGGCAACAAACCAGTTATTAGGAGTATCTGATTTTATCACCAATGGGAATCACAGATGCTTTCATTCCTGTTAGTTGTTGTAGAAGTCTCAAAATACTGTTTATGGTTATCAATATTTTGAAGTTACAGGTTATTAGACCTGCTACATTGTTATTTAATATATTTTTGTTATTTAAAGAAACATTTATGTTACTATATCACAGATTTGTTTATATTTTGATAACTATATTTCAATACAATGGTTTTCTTTGTAATCCTATGTGTTATATTTTATGTGTGTATTTAAAACGTTATTCTGGGAGGGGATCCATTTGGCTTCACCAGACTGCCAGAGATTCACGGTACAAAAAGAATTAAAGCCTTTGCTATTTGAATCCTAGAAAACAAAGATCCTATTCCTCCCCTGTGGGTTGCAAAGACTCAGGGTGTATGTGTGTGTGTGTGGTCTTCACACTGATACAATGCCATAAATGCTAGGATGGAGTTCTTGGTTGTGCTACGTGCCAAGGGAGCAGCGTAAGATCACCTACTGCCTCAGGAGAGGCTGTTTAGGAAGGCTGCTCAGAGCAGGGACCATCTGTGCTCTGCCTTATGGCAACTTATAATTTCTGCAACATCCATTCAACAAATACTCGGGTGCCCTTCTGTTGTAGGCATTGTCCTAAGGCACTGGGCAATCTGCAGTGAACAAAAGGACAGAGACCATATCCTTGAGAGGCCAACATTCTAGTGGGACTTGCTGTCTTCAGTCTTCAAGAAGCCTTCCCTTAGTCATGTGTAGTTACTCATTCTATACTCATGAAAACTCATTCCACCACATGAGTTCAGTCGATGGCATATTTAGTTCGTGTATATGTATCACCTCCCCAACTAGACATCAAATAATGTGCATAAAGTGCTTGTAATTCCTACAGAATGAGTTAACACATGTAAGCTGTTAGTATCGTACCTGGCACATACAAGTATAATGAAAGTATTTGCTATTATCTTACCAATCCTAGATGCAGATGATGACTTATTCAAAGAAAGAAAAAGCAGGGCAGAGAGGGAAGGAGATAGGGAGGGGACCAACCAGGAGCCAGAGTCCTTATTTCCCCAGGTGACTGGAACCCAGTGAAACTCCAAGCTGGCCTGGAAGGGCCAGGGTGGCCCAGCACTTACCAAAAGTCCGGTGGAGATTCTCTGAAAGAGGAACACATGGAAAGGCACTTAGCAGGCACTCAAAGGGGATCCTTATTCCTTCTCTAAGCCTTTGTTATTTAATCACTTAAAATTGTTTCTAGTCATGATGTATACTGGAGGAATGATGCTGTAGGATTTTGCTTCTACCCTGGCTTAAGGAAGGGAAGGGGAATGAGACTGTAATTCTTGGCTGGTTATAGGACTTTTAAATAGTGAATTTCCCACCTGAAGGGATTACAGGGTACTGGGACAGAAGCAGAGATGGTCTGAGAAAATGACCATTTCAGTTATGCCAAAAGATCAGAAGAGAGGGATCTGGGAGGGAGGGTGCCTGGAACTCACCCATCTCTGCTGGCAGTTTTCCTAAAAGAGAAAAAAGCAACATTTTTAGTTCTGCCCTGGCACTAGATGGGGCCCCTTCTGCACCCAGCACCCTGGGCCATTGTGCAGACTGTTTCTCTGCAGCCCAGGAGCACCCTTAGGAGCAGGGGAAGAGCACTGAATTTGGAGCCAGGAGTTCAGGCTCTTTCCCTGGCTATTGTCTGGATTAAATATTGGGATAAAGAACGTGGAGAACCTCGATAGACAGCAATGCCCCAAACCAACCTAAGGCTTTATTACCTCCCCCACTGCTCTTTGCTCTTTTCTTGGTGGTTCTCAGCTCACGTTGCAACTCCATCCCACTGGGTTGTCACTTTGTAAATCTAAAGCTACTTCCTGCCTAAATGAGGAAGGGAGGAACTAAACATTTAGTTCAGCAGCTACTTTGTGACTGGCTCTGTACTAGGCCAGTACTAGGCCAGCTACTTTGTGACTGGCTCTGTACTTTACATAACATCATCCCCTTTATTCCTCCTTTATAACGTAGGAGGGAGGCTGTTATCTCTACCTGACAGGCAACAAGCTTGCAGAGTTCAAGTCAGAGCCTGAGCTGGATTCAAATCCAGACTGCCTAACTCCATTGATTAGGTTCTTTCTGCTCAGCCCTGTGGACTGAAGGCCTTTTTCACGTGGGAGAAGTAGGTAACTGAGTATCTGGGATGAATTCAAGGGGAGAGAAAAGACCCTATTATTGATCTCACCAACATCCCCCCTCACATACCTCAAGCCCTCCTCACTGCTCTATCCTTTTAGGAATAGGAGGGGGGAGGAGGAGAATTGAAGATCCTGCATGCTTTGGCTTTGAGGAGAACACTTGGTGGGGGGAAAAGTCTCAGAATGGAAGCTCTGGGCACAAAAGAGCTTCATCGACAGCTAAAGCCAAGCCCTCAGTGTTGAATGGGAAAGGAGAAGACAATTTTTGAATACCTACTATGTGTTAGGGACTTTTCCTTACAGTATCTTTATTTAAACCTCTTAATAGCATAGACCTGCCTGACTCTGAAGCTCACTCTCCAAGTCTCATAAAGCTGCTGGGTATGGTACAGGGGCCAGGAGATAGGGGTTAGGCCTGAGCTCTGCCACTTACAAGCTGTGTCAGCTTGGGTAAATCTGAACCACTCCAGGCCTCAGTTGCCTCCTCTGTAAAATGGGGCTATTATATGTCAGCCCTTCCTCATAGTAAAATGCAAGGTCCTATTACCTGAATGAAAACGTTTGGTAAGGTATAAAACTTGTCATTATGGAGTTCTGAACCCAGAAGTCACTAAAAAATAAATGTTAGCTGACTGAGCTCTAAGAGGCCAGCTCATTTCAGGGAAGGATCCCAAGCGGCCCACCCTCCAGTCTGTACCTCTCAGTCTGTGCTGCAGGCAGAGGAAGACGAGGCCCACGGTGATCTGCAGGAGGAGCATGGGCAGGACTGCGATGAGAACTAGCACTCCAGGGCTGATCCAGTAGAAGGGATCTGAAAGGCAGCACCAAATGGGCCACGCTGTATCCTCAACACCCAGGACAGCGCCTGGGGCTTCATAAATCAGGTTGAATAAAGGAATGAATATCACCAAGATTCAAAGAAGATGACACAGAGTTGACACCTGAGCTTAGTCTTGAAGAAAAAGTGAGAAGGTGTGATATGAAAACATCATATCACATCTTCCTGTTTCCAGGAAGGGCTAGTGGTTTAGAATGACAGGAGTTAAGTTGTATATTGGGCCAGTCTTGGAGAGTTTTGAGAACAAGCTAAGGGACTAAGATCTGATCCTCAAGGCCATGGGGGTACATGGAAGGACTCCAAGCTGAGGAGTGACAAGATCTGATTTACTGACTGCAGGACTGGAGGAGGGAGGGAGGGAGGTGGGTCAAGAGGCCATGGTAATAGTTAAAGTAAAAAACAACATGAGTCTGAACTAGGACGGTGGTGGAGATATAGGAAGCCAAGGGATCTGTGAACCTAAATAGGAAAAAAGTACCTACTTATTTTCAGCAACCTTTCAACTGAGATTTAGCATTTCTTTCAATTATGTTTTTAGGCAACACACCACAATAATATGAACAGAATCTTTGACTTTGTCATCAATAAAAATCACTAATATTTTCATATCACATTAGAGTTGTTGCAGAAATTTCAAAATATCACTTACATTCATCACTATTTTGAAATCACACCAACTACCAGGGCCATTCCATATCTTGTTATTTTAATATTTTGATATCTGTATTTTAATACAAATATGTTTTATTTTATGCATTTAAAACATCCTTCTTGGGCCGGCCCCGTGGCTTAGCGGTTAAGTGTGCGTGCTCCGCTACTGGCAGCCCGGGGTTCAGATCCCTGGCATGCACTGAGGCACTGCTTGTCTGGCCATGCTGAGGCCGTATCCCACACACACCAACCAGAAGGATGTGCAACTATGACATACAACTATCTACTGGGGCTTTGGGGAGAAAAAGGGAAAAAAAGGAGGAGGATTGGCAATAGATGTTACCTCAGAGCCGTTCTTCCTCAGCAAAAAGAGGAGGATTAGCATGGATGTTAGCTCAGGGCTGATCTTCCTCACAAAAAAACAAAACAAAAACAAAACAAAACAAAACAAAAATCCTTCTAAGAAAGGGTCCATTAACTTCACCAGTCCACCAAAGGGATGCATGACACACAAAAAAGTTCAGAACCCCTCTTCTGGAGCTTTTGAGAAAGTAGGATCCACAGGATTCTGTAACTGAGTGGGTGTGGAGTGTGATAAGTAATGAGGGAGGCGATGGCCTTCAGCCCTTCAGTTCCCATTCTAGAATCTCGTTCCTCAGTGCCCTAAAGCTCTACCTGTCTAATCTCAGTATACCACGCTGCGGGCCAAGCCCTTTTCATCTTGATCTCTGATTTAGGGGCTAGATAAAGATATTACCACCAAGGGTAGGAATTAAGTCACAGCAAACAACATTAAACTGGCTCAGGAGGGTTTCTTGGGTATAAATACAATCCTTCAAGCTGCAGCTTAAGGCTCTTGCCTGTTATTATGTTCCTCAGAAGAAAATGCATTACATTGAGGGTAATATGCAAAGTGAAATAAGTCAGAGGGAGAAGGTCAAATACCGTATGATTTTCTTCATTAAGTAGTAGATAATAACAACAATAAACAAACACATAGAGACAGAGATTGGATTGGTGGTTACCAGAGGGGAAAGGGGGAGGGAGGAGGGTGAAAGGGATAATTCGGTACATGTGTGTGGTGATGGGTTGTAATTAGTATTTGGGTGGTGAACATGATGTAATCTATGCAGAAATAGAAGTATAATGATGTACACCTGAAATTTTTACAATGTTATAAACCATTGTTACTGCAATAAACAAAAAATTAAAAAAAAAAAACAGAAAATGCAGTAAACTCTACTTTCCTAGTTCTTATCGGAAGTTACCTGTAGCAATGTGATTTAGCAAGCACATCCTTCAGTTATTTTTTTTTGCACACCTTTTATACTTTCACAAAGAATTAGAATCAAAAAAGAGAGAAAAGGAGACATTATGAGCCTTCTGATGTAAAGCGATAGGAAGTATATAGCATCACTTGTGAAGTCTGCTTGACAAAACAAATCGAACCTGAATCTGATCAGGCGTCTGTATCAGTTCACAGGAAACACGGGGTGTGGGGCACCAAGTGAACAACATTGGAATGAAATCAGCAAAATCTAGACTGCGGGAAACTCTACGGGGCAAGTACCAGCGCGTGGATCTTGTTTGGATCCGATTCAAACAAACCAATTGTAAAAATATATTTATGAAACGATCAGGAAAATTGGAACACAGATTGGGTATTGACATTAAGGAATTTTTGTTGATGTTTAAAGATGTGGTAATAGTATTATGGTTATGATTTTTTTTAAAGAGTTCTTTTATTTGAGTGATACATTCTTGATGATTTAGCAACGAAATGATGATGCTGCCTAGGATTTGCCTCAGTGATTCAGTTGGGGAGGGTGGTAATGAGTGGGGTCAGGTGAAACAGTTGTCTGTCTCTATGTTGATAATCTTTGCAGGCAGATGATGGGTACTTGGAGGTTCATTATAATATTCTCTCTACTTCTATGTATGTTTTAAAGTTTCATACCTAGGAGTTTAAAGAAAGGATTAGAGGCGCCGGCCCCGTGGCTTGGCAGTTAAGTGCGCGCGCTCCACTACTGGCGGCCTGGTTGGGATCCAGGCGCGCCCCGACGCACTGCTTCTCCGGCCATGCTGAGGCCCTGTCCCACATACAGCAACTAGAAGGATGTGCAACTATGACGTACAACTATCTACTGGGGGGCTTTGGGGGAGAAAAAGGAGGAGGATTAGGCAATGGATGTTAGCTCAGAGCCGATCTTCCTCAGCAAAAAGAGGAGGATTAGCACGGATGTTAGCTCAGGGCTGATCTTCCTCACAAAAGAAAAAAAAAAAAAGAAAGGATTAGAGACAGCTAGTAATAAATCACAAAAATGACAAGAGAAAAATAAAGTCAGAGAGATAAAAAACTTTAGAGAAAAAGGGGAGGTAATTACAACCGAAACTTGCAATAATACAGTTACTGCATTTCAGTCCTAAATTTGTCTCAGCTTCCTGGCTCCCCAGGCTAGGCGATGATTCTTTGTTTACTTGTAAAACACCCTATTTTAGCCTTTTAGGCATGCAGATTATGAGATGGGAGGAAGAGGGTTGAAATGTGGAAACCAACCCAAAGGAAAACTTTCTCGCCTGAGGCAAAGCTTTAGTTTCTTCTTCCTCTTTTTTTTGGTGTGGTGGGGATGGCGAGTGTACTGGGGAGGCAGTTAGTGAGCTAGGAAGTTATTGAACAGGCAGGAGAAAAATCTGCAACTGGAGAGGTCCTCACCATCGGACTTCTTTGCAGGTAAAAATTTCCCCACTAAAAACAGCTGTATGAAGAACATTCTGTGACACACAAAGCTATGTTCATATCCCTGCAGTGACTCTCTAGAAACAGTGCTTTGTTATCCCGCACACAATGCCACCTTCTGGTCCCAGCTCTGCAACAGTTGCCCTCAAGATACAAAAGTGATTGATTGTCTGATGTTTACGCTGCAGGTGGGGAGGAAAGAAAGGGAAAGGACCTGAAGCTAGGCCCTCAGGACATTTTTGTTCTTCAACTAAATAGCAATTAACTCTCAAATCTCCTCCTTCATCCACTTCACCTTGTCCACATCTTAACCATCCTGGGATAAAACAAAAAAAAATAAATTCCAAAATCATCCATCACACAAAACATACGGAAAACAAAATTCTGGAGAAAGGAAGGGGTGGAGGTAAAATCTATAGGTGACATCTCTTTCTTTCTGTGGTTATATTTGGACATTTGTTTTACTTGCTTATTCACTTGAACTATGTTTACCAGGAATATATTTTTCAGTAATGTTTCTCATCTAATAAAACACCACAAACACATCACTGGAGGAATTCATTGTAATAGCATGTGATCAATTTGACTCGTTAGGAATAATGCCCTTGTGTATAACAAATAAATAAAAAGATATTCCAAAGTAAAACAGAGAAAGAAGTACACTTGGATACTTAGATTAACTTTCAGATTATTCGTATTCTCCTCCAGCAGTACAAAATAATCAGGAATTTATTATTTTGGATTTTGCTGCCTCCATTTCTCATTTTTTTTTTCTATTTTGGATATTTTTTCCTTTTATTTAAAAAAATTTTTTTCTTTAATTTTCCTTTCTATGTACCCACAAGTGTACATATCGTATATTCTTTTATATGAATGCATAACTATGATCAAATGGATAATTATGATCTTTTGTTTTTTTTTTTGGTTGGATCACACCCCATGCTCCCTCCTCTCCCCTCTTGCCCCAGTAAACCATATTAACCTAACTTTCTTATGCGCATCCTTTCATTTTTTAATGCAATATATCTATATCAATATTGAATATATATACATATTCACAAACATATGGTATTTGTTTTTGTTCCCTACATTCTGTAGCTTGCATTTATCATTCAACAATACCTTGTGGAATGCCTCCAAGTCATCTGGTAAAGCCCTAAACTATCTTTTTTTTTTTCCATTTGCTGAATTTATTTAAACAAATCTATTTAGAAATATCATAAACAAAACTTCTGACATGTAAACATACTGCCATGTTCCTGAAACAGATGTTAACACTTGATCGAAGTTAATAATCACTTGCTAGGAACGCTGTCCATTAATAAGGCCAGTCTTCAGTAAAACTAAAACCATTCCTATACTATCTTTTTAATGGCTACGTAATATTCATGGTACTGATAACAATGTTTATTCAGTCACTTCCCTACTCGTGAGAATTGACTTTCGTTCCAGTTTTTCCCACTCTGAATAATGAGGCAACAGACATCCATGAGCATCTGAATCCGCATGTACTGATGTGATTATTTCTACAGGATCGATTCCCAAGAGTGAGATGTTTGGGTTGAAGGATCTCATCTCAATGGAAACAATGATTGAAGTTTCAAAAGGAGGTCTTGGCCACGCAACAGATAATATCTAATATTATATGGCTCTACTCACCTTCCACTTTCAATTCTATTGCTGCCTCCTCTTGGTTAGAATGATCTCGGAAGAAGCAGGTGAAACCTCCTTCATCTGAGAACCTTACATTCCGGATCTTGAGGGTCACCTTTCCCTCACCAATAGTGTCTTTCAGCAGCTCCGTCCGGCCCCGAAATTCGGGTGCCTGCTCTCCATCTTGATCTTTGCCATTTCGGTAGAGATGAACCACCCTAGAGAAGGGGGGCCGGTACCATCCCACCTCCATGCCTGTAGCATTCTTTCCAGGAGATATGCGACATGGCAATTCCACTTCATCTCCCACCAGAGCCCGGATGGGGTGCCCTGGTCCTATTACTCTGAACTGTCCTGTCCAAGATACCAGAGAAAAGAAACTGAGCGTCACGAGGAACCTTGACAATAAGCATGTCATGAGAAAGGCTGCTTCAAAACAGGGAAAGAAGAAGACACTTGATTTTTAAATGGAATTCTAGAGCCAAGGAAGGAGGAGCTCAATTTCTCTTCTTAAGCATTAAAAAAATGGTCTCTGTTTATAGAGCTACTGTGAGTGTCCTGGATAGAACATTCTAGCACGTGGTCATCTCAACAGCTGCTGCTCACCTTTCTGCCAACTGTATCCATCTCTGATTCTTCAGCCCAGCCTTTAGGTCTAGCCTTGGAATGTGGTCCACCATCTTGCAGTTTAATTTTCCCATGGGCCTCCCTGTTCAGACTTGGCCAAATTGATCCCTACTCTCCCCTTAGAGGTTCTGCTTTTGTCACTCCTCTACCACTGCCTCTCCACCACTTCTCAGCCCTCTGTCCTTGTGTCCACCCTCTTCCCAAATTCTTCTCCTCTGACATCTTCCACCCTGGAGGTGGCTCTGTTTCCCTCTTCTTTTCCTTTGTACCTTCAACCCGCACTACAGCTCCTGGATCCAGCCCTGTACATGCTCCGGTCTGTTTCCTATGTGGGATGTGTCTCATCAGTCAGACTCAGAGCCACTAGAAGACAAGGCTGGTTTCTCCATTAGACCTGCAAGGCTTTCCTGAGGCCTCCTCTGTTAGGTGGCTCCCTGAGGTTGGGAAGCTGTCTTCTGTTTCTTTTATTTCTCCCTAACATATGAGAGCAGGGCTTCTGTATAAAAACTTATTAGTGCCTGATCATGCAGAACAGAGCTCTCAAACATGACAAGATGCTATAATTCAACAAACATTTATCAAGATTTACCGTGGGGCAGGTACTACTAAGCACGTTATACACTTCATTTCACTGAGCCCTGACAGTGACTCCAAATGGTTGCTATTATTACATCCCCACTAGGCAGGTGAGAAACCATAGCTGGGAAGGTAGGTAAGAAGGAGTTCAATGACAGCCTTGAGTTAAGGTCATGTTATGGAGTTTGGGTTCTATTCTGAAGGCCATAGGGAGCCACTGAAGTTTTCTGAGGAGGGGAACCACTTCAGCACTTCTATGTTTCAGAAAGATAACTTGCATAGCAACGTCAGGATGAATTGAAGGAGGTGAGCCCAGAGAAACTAGCCTTTCTGTTCTCAGGGTCTCCCCAGGGCAGGAATAAAGATAAATCTTACCTGCATAGCTGGAAGACAGCTGGAGGAGGAGGAGGAAGAGAGATGGCAAGCAGCTGGGCAGAGAGGAGCTCAATAAACTTGCCATCTCCACTCTTGGTGGGCACAGAGAGCCCCTGCAGCAGGGTCAGGCCAAGCAGAGGCCCTCAGGGTGCATGTCCCCCACCACTGAAAAAGTCCAAGGGCAGGATCTGGGAGGGCAGTGCTGCCAGGGCCTGCCTCTTCCCAGTTGCCCTGCTGCAGCTGTGCTCCAAGGAACAGCCCCACGTCATCCTTGCCAGGCACTTACACAAAAGGGCTACAGATAGAGGGAATGACCAGGGTTTGCCTCCCCACCCCCTCAGAGCTACGGAGCAGAGGCTGCCTGGTACTGGGCTGTCCTCCCCTACTCCCTCCCGGGCACCCAGACTTTTAAGGGGCTTCTAGGATCTGACCAGTTGGGATGGATCACTCACTGGACCTCAGGAAGAGGCTTGTCCATGTAATCTGTAAGATTTCTTCAACTCCTCTCCACCCAGTATTAGCCAAGGGAGAGGGATCATTGTGGGCCATTAAAAAAAGAACATTTAGACTTGGTTTCCTATTTCTACCTTCTCATAACTGTCATTACCAGAACCTCCCTCGCTCCTACTGCAAATCCACACTCCCTTCCTTATGTTCAGACATATGATGGGTCACTCGGGCTTAGTTAGCTTCTCGCTCCCAAAGAATACATTTAGGAAAGTCATGAGTTGAATGTCAGGAGTTAATGGCCACTTGTGCACAGAGAGGCAAGAAGAAGGAAGGAAGATCAGCAGGGGCAGTGACTGTCACTCAGCACAGGCATTGAGAACAGAGCCAGCAACCAGGACACATCCCTCCAGCCTGGGCATCACTCTCTGATTTCCTCAGTGTCACAGGGGAAAGTGAGACCTGGAATGGAAACATGGCCTTTCTTCTTATCCCTGGACTCAGCTGATTACTGAAGGGTGAGACCAGCATCAGCACCAAGTTTGAAAACTATGTTTCCCAGTCATAAAGCAAGGATGTCTCATCAAATAAGGAAAAAGTGTCAGGACGGACAATTTAAAGCCATACTGTCCAAAAGTGGGCCCCCATATCTGGGGGTTCTGCATCCGTGGATTCAACCAACCCCAGATCGAAAGGCCTACAACGGTTGCATCTGTACAGACTTTTTTTCTTGTCATTATTCCCTAAACAATACAGTATACCAACTATTTACATAGCATTTACATTGTATTAAATATCATAAGTAATCTAGAGGTGATTTAATGTATAGAAGAGGATGTGGGTAGGTTATATGCAAATATTGCACATCTTATGGATTTTGGTATCCACGAGGGGGCGGGCAGTCCAGGAATCAATCCCTCCATGGATTGGATGACTGTACAGTAATCACTAGCCACAGGTGTCCATTTAAATTAAAATTAAATAAAATTAAAAATTTAGTTTCTTGATTGCACTGGCCATGTTTCAAATACTCAGTAGCATGTATGGCTGGTGGTTACCACACTGGACAGCACAAATACAGATAATTACTATCATCACAAAAAATTATATTGGGTAGCACCATTCAAGGGCTAGGAACATAACTGGGACATACATTTTCTGCTTTTGTCTGAGATGAGCACAAGGGGCTAGAAGGGCATACTCCGGGAGTTGCTTATTCTGTCTCCCTGCCAGGCAGCTGGAGTTTGGGCAAAAGTAGGTTGGCTACTCTGGAGCTGTGAGGTTGAAAGTCAAGGTCAAGAGGGTTGAATCAGTTAGGAAGAGGAGCCTCTGTCTAACTTCCTCTCAAGTAGGGGATTCTCTCCTTCCAGAATCTAAAATATCCTGTATGCTCTTCCTCCATGATGCACATTCAGGTAGAGTTATGCACAAGATGCTTTCCTGGGCAGCGTTTAGGAGTTGTAGGATGCTTGAAATTGTCCAGCACCAGCCCAGTTGTCAAAAGCTGGTTGGGAGATCAGGTTGGGATGGAGGGTTTAGGGAGGAGAGAGGGACAGGGGCTGGCCAATCAAAGCCACTTTGGAAAAATCACAGCATCTCTGAAAAAACACCTTACCGAATGCTTCCATGTGCCACTGTTCTAAGCAGTTTATACGTATGAACTCATTTAATCCTCACAAAAATAAAAATGTTGAACTACTCTCCCTCTTATTTTACCGATGAAGAAATTGAGATAAAAAAGAAATTAAGTCACTTGCTCAAGGTCACACCACTAGGGAGTGGCAGAGTTGTGATTTGAAGCCAGTCTTTCTAGCCCTTGAGTGGCACTTGTAACAACTACACCACTCACCTCTGAAGAGCTCACCTCACTCACCTCCTGGCCCTGAACTGCCTCAGATCTCTGGAGAGAGAGTGGATTCCTGGAGCTGGGGTGAGAAGTCCTTTGGATGACATGATCTTTGGGGAAAGGTGACGTAAACAAGGAAAGGGAAGAGGGGCCATCAGCAAAAATGAAGCCAGTGGTGTTGCCATTTACAGAAATATGGGGTGTAGGAGCACCAGGTTTGTGCTAGGCATGAGCATAATATAGGTGTGTCTAAGACATGAAATTGCCATGTGTTGGTCAGAGCTGGTCATTTCCTTCAGCATGGAAATGTTGCTTTAATTGATTTTGTGTAGCATATGTTATGTAATCTTGCAAGTATTCTTAGCTGGTTTCTTGCGTACATTATTCTTCTCAGTGATTTCCGTTTAATCTGCATCTCTCGTCGTGTCTGATAACAGGTCGTGTACACAGTTACGCATACAAAGTGACATACTGTAAATACAATGAATGTGTATATTAATTAACATTCTGTCCATATGTGAAATAGTAACCACTCAATAAATGTTAGCTTATCCAGGTAGTTTCCCAAAAATAGTACTGCATAAGCTTTTCCAGATAATGTATGAAATATATATCTTACACAAATGATGACATATTGTTTATCTTCTTGTGTTGTTTACTTAATGCATAATTCCACATTAATACATAACACAGCTCTCTTGTACGTTTATTTATTTGTTTTTTATTTATTGTTTTGTGTGTGAGGGAGATCAGCCCTGAGCTAACATCAATGCTAATCCTCCTCGTTTTGCTGAGGAAGACCGGATCTGAGCTAACATCTATTGCCAATCCTCCTCCTTTTTTCCCACAAAGCCCCAGTAGATAGTTGTATGTCGTAGTTGCACATCCTTCTAGTTGCTGTATGTGGGACGTGGCCTCAGCATGGCCGGAGAAGCGGTGCATCAGTGTGCGCCAGGGATCTGAACCCCGGGCCGCCGGTAATGGAGCCCGCACACTTAACCGCTAAGCCATGGGGCTGGCCTCTTGTACGTTTAAAAATTGATTTTTATTTATTTGTCTGTTCATTTGCTTCTGTTTCAAAATCCAAAAGGTATCAAACATATCTTGAAAATTTCCGTCACAGCCAACCATAGCCAAGTTGTTTTCTTTGAATCCTTCCCTATATACACATTTGCCACTAGAGGGCGCTCCAGGAGACAGTCACTGCAAGTGAAGACCAACAATAGCACTGACATCCCCCTCCCTTTTTTTTCCACATAAATGGTAAGAATTTATCTTGGAGATCTTTCCATATCAGTACCTAAAGAACATTCTTGTTATTTTGTACAGATACACAATATTTTATTGCAAGAATTTATTATACTTATTTAACTAGTTTCCCAGGACATTCAGTTTGTTTCGATTTTTTAAATATCTATTTTAATAGTTTGAAATAAGAATATATTTGATTAACATAAATTAACAAATATTTAACAGCAAACGTTATGTGTCAAGCTTTATATTAGGCCTTGATTATAAAAGTTTCAGCAAGACAGATAAAGTTCTTGCTTGAAAGTTATATTCCAATTATATTGCAGCTATATTCTAGTTAACATGTTGCCTGAGAGCACAAGTCAATGAGTATCAGGCCATCGTTTTCAACCTTTTTGCTCCTACATATAATCTGGCAATGAATTTCGGTCTATTATGGCCAGCTACATAATTTGAGAGCCCCAATACAAAATGAAACTATGGGGTCCTTTGTTCAAATAGCAGGAAAGAAAGTCTTTTCCTTTCTTCTGCAGATTCGCTCTCTATATGTCATGAAGACTTTGTTTTTGTTTTTGCTATTTAATGTCTCATTCCTTCAGGCACAGGGGTACTTAGGGGGGTGAATGCAGGCCTTCACAAGTGCCTGGGGTCCTGCCCCTGGACTTAGCAGGACAGGTGTGTATGCCTGACCCCCCTGGTCACAAGCCCATGAAGTTCACTCTGCCTTCTGCACAGGTGGAACTGTTGGCACAAAGAGTACATGCATTGGTAATTTTAATAAATAGTGATAACTTGCCCTTCACAAAGTTGTATACTTTGTACAAGTATACACACTGTACCACAGCTTTCTCCTCTGTAAGTGGGGGAATAATAACATCCACCTCATTAGAGGTGTGACGAGAATTACATGAAGGAGCCCATGTGAACTTGAATGGCACACAGTAACCACTCAGTAAGTGCTGGTATTAGCCCTCACATGCACCGATTTTCCTTTTGGAACTCTCTAGTGCCATAAATATCAAGAGGAATTGGACATTTTCTTCTCCACTTTTGTGGCTCAATTTTCATAGTATTGGTCTGGATATTCCATGGAGATTCAATGACTGATAGACTCTAAAAAGTCTAATTTATATCCCTTTAGCCAGACATTTCATAGGGCAGCCAGAGAAATGAGAACAAGGATCTGAATCATCTGACGCAGCTACCCAGCAAGTGAGTGCTTGTAGCATGTGAGCGTGTGTTGTAGGGAAGCCAGGAGCTGCTCTTTTATACTGATGTGTTTATATAAGTAACACACACAGTGTAGAAAACTAGAAAAAATATAGAGAACATAAAGCCAATGATGTTCTGCCAGAGGTTTAAATTTTATCTATCAACATTTTCCCATTTTTATGTCTTCCTTGTTACTATTCTGAAATTCACCAGTATTTTCATCTTCGTAAAGGAAAGCTCTCAGCTTGTTATGAATCAGGTAAGGCACTTAGGTTTTTTTTTTTTTTTCTTCCTCGAAATGGAAATGATTTTGATCAAAATATTATGGGTTGTTCTGTGGAATAGGTATTAAGCTGCTCTGTAGGTCTTCGTGGGGTAGAACAGTTAGGTGCAAGCTCTCAAGGCAGATTTCAGTTGAGTACAAAGAAGAATCTTCTCTCTATGAGAACTGCCAACCGGGTAGGGAACGGTCAGTTGGCGTGAGCTTCCCGTTCCTGGAC